TCAAATTTTCTTGAACAGATCTCTGGCTTTCCCATTTCTAATATTTTCCTCCATTTCTTTGCACTGTTCATTTAAGAAGGCCCTCTTGTCTCTCCTTGCTATTCTTTGGAAGTCTGCATTTCATCTTCTGTAACTTTCCCTATCTCCCTTGCATTTTGTTTTCCTTCTCTTCTCTACTATTTGTAAGGCCTTGTTGGACAGCCACTTTGCTTTCTTGCATTTTCTTTTCTTTGGGATAGTTTTTGTTGCTGCCTCCTGTACGATGTTACGAGCCTCCATCCAGAGTTCTTCAGGCACTCTGGCCACCAAATCTAGTTCCTTAAATCTGTTCTTCACTTCCACTGTGTATTCATAAGGGATTTGCTTTAGATTTTACCTGACTAGGCCAGTGGTATTTCCTACTTTCTTCAGTTTAAGCTTGAATTTTGCTATAAGAAGCTAATGATCAGAGCCACAATCACCTCCAGGTCTCATTTTTGCTGACTGTATAGAGCTTCTCCATCTTTGGCTGCCGAGAATATAATCAATCTGATTTCAGTGTTGCCCATCTGGTGATGTCCATGTGTAGAGTCACCTCTTGTGTTGTTGGAAAAGAGTGTTTGTGATGACTAGCTTGTTCTCTTGACAAAACTGGCCTGCCTTGGATTCATATTGAAATCATTCTATCATTTTTGAGACTGTATCCCAGTACAGCTTTTCCTGCTCTTTTGTTAAATATGATAGCTATTCCATTTCTTCTACGGGATTCTTGCCCACAGTAGTAGATATGATAAATGTCTGAATTGAATTCGCCCATTTCCATCCATTTTAGTTCACTGATGCCTGGAATGTCAATATTAATTCTTGCCATCTCCTCTTTGACCACATCCAGCTTACCAAGGTTCATAGATCTTCCATTCCAGGTTCCTATGCAGCATTTTTCTTTGCAGCATCAGACTTTCCTTTCACTTCCAGGCACGTCCACAGCTGAGCGTCCTTTCGGCTTTGGCCCAACCACTTCATTAGCTCTGGAGCTACATGTCCTTGTCCTCCGCTCTTTCTCAGTAGCATGTTGGACGCCTTCCGACCTGAGGGGCTCATCTTCCAGCGTCATATCTTTTAGCCTTTTGTTTCTGTCCTTAGAGTTTTCTTGGCAAAGATACTGGAGTGGTTTGCCAGTTCCTACTCCAGGTGGATTGCGTTTAGTCAGAACTCTCCACTATGACTTGTCCATCTTGGGTGTCCCTGCATGGCATAGCCCATAGCTTCTCTGAATTACTCAAGCCCGTTCAGCATGACAAGGCAGCAATCCATGAAGGGGAAAAATACTACACAACAGTAAAAACGAACGGGAAAGAAAAGGTTGCAATCATTGATGATGCACTGGGATCAGTCTGTAAATATGCTGGTTAATGCATTGATTTAAAATCTCATGTGTAATTTCCTGAAGAGGTTTTAAGCCCATACTTAATATTGGAGTAAAAATTTTCAATGTGAGCACACACAGTGATACAAAGATCATATGGCTGAAAATTGATTTAAAATATAGCAGAGCTGAAACTGATACAATTCAGCAGTGTAACCACGCCCTTAGATGTGCTGTGCTGTCAGTATGCATCAGAAAAATCAGTTCATCCTATGCTTCTCTAATGTTCCATTTCCACTTTTGAAAGTTATGTTAACTGTTGCTCTGTTCTGATTTATATTTGACTGGTAAATATGCTTCATTTGGATTTCTCAGAAGTTGCTGTTCTAATGAAGAGATTTTTGCCCAGAAAAATCTACTAGAATATGATTCTTATGGGTGACTTTTGACTAGTTTAATTCTATTTGGTATATTTCAGAAGTTGCTACTGTATTCTGGGCAGTTTTCTTGAATATGGGATTTTGGACAAGAGGACGTACCAGGATTCTTTTCAATCTTTTGTGGGTTGTTGAATAACTTCCATTGAGCTCTGTGTGAATGACAAATAGGGTTGACTTCTCCTACTCTGAAGTTACTATTCAACGCTTCTATCCGGAAAGGTGTTCGGTTTTTTTGGGGGGGGGCAGTAAAAGCACCAAAATGTGGTTTCTGGAGCTATTTAAGGCTTGCTGCATTAGCTCCTTCTAGTCACGTTCCAGTTATTAATTCTTTGGTTCATCCCACCTGGACATTGCCATTCCAGATTGATTTTGTGCAATATTGGTTTTCTGCCAAGAATGGGTACTGGAACGCTCATTCTGAGATTGTTTTGAGGCTTGTTGCACCACACCCGTCGTCTGCTAGCATGGGTAAATTGTGTTTGGTTGTCCTACTCAAATGTTGTTCTGGGCAGTTTTGTTCTTTTGAAACATTGATTTTCTGCCTGGAATAGTTACTAGAATGCTGTTCCTGGGGTTAGGAATGGAGTTGGTGTCTAAAATAATGTATAATGTTTGTCCATCACATCTCACTAGTTTTGACATCAATTGTTTAATTAGGGTTAGCCTTTACCTAATCTTGATTTTGCAAGCCATTGAGATTGGCAATTAGACACTTAGCAGATATCATATTAGGTTCATATGGGACATTTTTTAAAAAATGATTCAATTCTATGGTAGTGTTACCAACATAAGACATGGGAACCCACCGTTCCTGTGTTTGGTTCATGTGCTTCCATTTCTGTTGAAAGGATTGGTATTGTTGCTGCTAATATTTTTAAGTCTAATGGCTGTCAGTAAGCAAATAAGCCCTACCACCCAAGTATGTTATAAGTGAGCATTTTTGACAGATAGGCAAGAATATAAATTAAACAAATAAAAAAACAATACCTTGGCAGTTCACACCATTTGTTGGCTGAACAGGTGTTTGGCACTTCCCACCGTCTCCTCCATCAGGCACCCACTCAGAGGCAGCGATTCTCTGCCCCACCTCTTCCTGGCACTGCCTCTGAACGTGCACTTGCTAGAGGAAGCAGGGTTGGGAAAACGCCAAACATCTGTTCAGCCAGAGAACAAACCAGCATAAACCACCAGTTCTTGTCCATCTCTAGATTTGATGTAATCTGGATTTCCTCTAGTTCTATGCAGTTCTTTATCCATTTGAGTTCTTCTGGTTTAATAGTCATATAATTTATTCAGCTAGTATTCCAGGATGCTAGCAATCGTGTTGATCTCACAGAACACAAAGCACGTAAAATCCTGTCTTTGCCTGATAAACTAGTCTGAAAGTATGGAAATCTGTATAATCCAAGGGGCAGGGGCGGGGGCAGGGAAGAGAAACCTGCAGTTTGTTATTACAGTATGGAATTCATACAGAACTTACGGGAAAAGACGGATAATATTTCTCATTAGAATCGGTTGCAGTATGATGCAAACATAGCTAATAACTACATACTTCTTTTGTCTCATTTCCATCTCTGTTTAAGGAGGTTTTCTAGGTTACTTAAGCAATTCAGATAAAAGGAACACTTACATACTTCTTACATGTATGTGTTGAGAAACAAAGATTGTTTTGATTAAAGGAAGTGTTTTCAACATACAGCAGGCTGCTGCACCTCTTGTCTACCAGCTGTTTTCCATGTTCCAGCCACCTGTGTCAAGAATAGATTTAATATGTATGGCACCTGCAGAATTCCTACTAGACATGTGGGATGTTTAATTTCAACATGAATTAAGCCATTGTAAAGAGCATCTTTATATTTTTATTAAGCATTTCTTAAGTTTTCATTCAAGTAGGCTAATATTCTGATAGTTTACTAGGAAATTATGCATTCTCCACAGAAATTGATACCTGTCACGTAAGTCCTTCGTTTCCTTGTTAGCACTGCGAAGTTGGCGTGGAGGTTTATCAGGTGTATATCAAAACATCTTGAGGCAAAACTCTTAAGGCGCTATAAAGGAGTATACATACAGTATAGGCTAATTAAATAAGGAAAATAACTCGTATATGCCCCCCCCGCCCGCCTCAAACAGCCCAGTAACAAGAACACGAGTTGACAGGGAAAGGGAATTACATCCAGTGTTATGGAGTAGCCTCCCAACACGAAACGTGGCTACCGTGGGAAGGGGGAATCTGGCAACAACGAGTGGAGAGAGCCAACTCCATCCCAGGCCTTTCCTGAGGTCCGCCGCCTTCGGAAGAGGCTCTTCGGAGGATGAGGCGGCGGTGGCGGAAGACTGCCGCGGACGAGGATTATTCGCCTTCCCCAAACTCCCTTCCCGGACAAGGAATGGCGAATCCAACACCGGGGAACGGAAAAGCATCTTAATTCCCAAGCAAAGACAGGGCTCGAACACGAGGTTTAGCGCGCCGGGCGCCTAGCACCGGCGGCGGAGGCACCAGCCTGTGGGGGCCGCCAGCTCCAAGGTAATAACTGACAAGGCCCGACCGAAACGCAGCTGCGCCCGCCCGCCGCTTCGTCCATCTCCTCGCTTCCTATTGGTTGAGCTCGTTCCGCAACTTACGGGCAACCGCATCCCTCCCCGCTGAACCGACATGTGGGAACTGAGCCTCCGCGACCCCTTGGCCAATCAGCGGTGGCGTGCGTGTCGTGGGGAATGACGTGTCCAGGAGCCTATAACAGTGTCGCCCTCTCGAAGTTGGTTCGCAGCCAATAGCAGTCTCGGGTTCCCCTCTCTCCACCCGCCAGTTTGCAGGACCGCCGCTCGGTAAAGCGGCACAGACAAGTAAGTGAAGGGGGCTGCGTTCCTTCTCAGAAGAAGGGAGGGAGGGAGGGAGCCCGTGGTGGGGCGGGCGGGACGAGTCAAGACGCGGGCAGCGCGAGACGGCAGCAGCAGCAGCAACCGCCGCCGCGACCACCGGGAAGCTGAAAGGCTCCTCTGACGGGCGCGCGACAGGACAGAGGGGTTGGTTGAGGGGAACGGCGGTGGGGGGGAGGAAGGAAGGAGACCGCTGGCAGTGGGAGGATCGCTCAGGAAAGACGGTGGCGCCTCAGCTGATGGCTGTTGGATGCGGGTCGGTGGGTGGGTGGCTGGCTCGCTGGATGGAGAGGGCCGGGCGACGGGGAAGGGAAGCGTAGCCGGCGGTGGGGGAGGAGGAGGAGGAGGGGAGGATGGACGCAGAGCGGGTTTCTGAGGAGAAGCAAGGAGGCCTCGGGTGGGCCCTGGAGTCTTCTCTGAGGCGAATGACGGGAGAGGGAGAAAGCATTATGGGATGGAGATCCCTCGGGAAGCGCAACGTGGTGAGTGGGTAGCTTGGAGGGTTGGGGGAGGGCAACCGCCTTGTGTGGGCTGAGGGGGGGGCGGGCTCTATCCTGTGCACTTAACGTCGCCCAGTTACACTGGGGAGGGGGGCATCTCCCGCCTTCTTTTCCTTTTCCTAGCAAAGGCGTATGAGACAAAAGTTAAGTAGTGGAGGGATGGGACTTTGAATAAACTCTTGCAGACCCCTAGGTTCTCCTGTGTGAGGAAGGAGTCGTTGGGGAGGCTCAGCTGGAGAGGAGAGAGGCGAGGACCTTGTGGCTGCCCTTTCTGTGGGATCGAGGGAGGCCCTTCCGTGTGGAAAGGCACAGGTGGGCAGGGTTGCAGAGGAGGGCAGAGGTGCATGGCTTGGCTGGAGTGCCTGGGGACATATCGGAGCAGCGGTTGCCCAAAGCATCACATAACTTTGAGGAAGTTTCCCCAAAGGTTTGACTTATTATCCCCCCTCGGAACAATTAGTACAAATCCACTCTAGGGCATTTCTTTCTCTCTCAAGAGGTAGCAAAAGTGCATCTGTAGATAATGTCTGTACAGTTGTATATGGAGCTGTCATCAACAGATGTAGGGCAAAATTCAAGAAAATTGTATCACTTAGCACTCTCCCTCTGAAAAACAAGATGGCTTTTAGGCAAATATTTTGCATGGGAAATTATTTTCCATTCATAGTTACTATTGTGCCTAGAGAATAGGATTACAATGGGGTGTGGTGACACCAGCTCCACCCTTAGTGTGTTATCTTACTTTTTAAATGTATTGTTTCCTTTGGGTGGGGCCGTGTGCAGGGATTAAAGAATACTGGTCGACTTTCAAAGCAACTCTCAGCCTGCCACTACAGTAGTCAGATACGAATTTCTTGGTATGAGTTTTCTCTCCTGCTGATCCTTTTTATAAATACAGTAACAGTAAAAAGAAAACCTTCAGCATCTCAGAAAGGAATTGAGTGTCTTAATAGTAAGAGAGAAGTACAATTGGAGTTAACTTTGGGCAACCAAGGTATACAGGAAGGAACTAAGAAGAAACTTGAGTTTTTGCAACTGAAAAAATTGTAACTCTAGTTATATTTTTGCAGTCAGCCCAATTTTCTTTTTGTAGCCTTACTTAATATGTTCAAGTTTGCCTATTCATTACTGAAGAATTCTAGAGTTCCTTGAGTATAGAAAGAGCTATAAAGACTGTTGATGGTGTTTTGTGGTATAGTAGTAAGAGCCCATTGGGAGTACTGTATATTTGGATATCACAGTTCAAAATGATGGAAACAAAATTTATTTCTTAAAAAAGTTGTATGATGAAGGAAGGAATTGGATATGTTATTCAAAATGAAAGAGTTATACATTGAAAGTATTCTATTATTTTAAAGACTGCTAGTAGGGTAGCTATTGTGTATTATGCTACAGTGGATAAAAGCAACATTTCAGAATAATGGAAAATGATATCTAATGTCAAATGTAGAAAACATTGAGCACTGAGGAAAGTTAGATAAAGGGAAAGGAAGGCTTGAAAAGAGCATGCTGGCTTAATAGCTCAGTGGTTTACATATCTGATTGCAGAGCGAGAGTTTGGGAGTTTCCCACTGTGCCTTGGTGAAAAGAGCCAGTCTGTGTAGTCACGGGCAAACTGCACAGTCCCAGGGTCGCTCTAGAAAAAGGGAATGATAAACCACTTCTCTGTATTCACTACATAAATAACCCTGAAAAAGATTCCCATAAGTCTAAATCAGTTTGATGGCATGCAATTCATCTGCTTCTTTTCTTCTGTTTCTTCTGATTCTTATTGAAAAAAGCATGTCAGACCTTTATTTTTTAGGTCACATATTATGTTAGGGATAATTGTGACTTTCATTCATTGCTTTCCTTATTTTTGACGGTAGATTCAGAAGCTACCTGTTTGCTCAAAAATGTGATTGGCTGTCTTATACGCTGTATCTCTGTAGTAAATCTTAATTATTTTGCACATATTTAACACATTTGTCCACCTGCACACACATATAGATTTTTAAACATGTAACTGTTTTAATCTCAGACTAAACATTTCAGTAACATTTGAAGAAAAGAGCAAAAGAAGAGACTTGTTGCACTTTAAAGACTAATTGTCAAAATCCTATTGCAGTTTTCAGTCATGTAAGGGAAATTGTGTAAGTCTTAGTGATGGATTGCTGTTCATTAATGAGGTGCTGATTCAGTGACAAGCGATTTTTCTTACACAAGTGTACATCAACAGTGGAAGTCTGGCCATAGATATATTTTAGCCTAAGTCTTCGTGGATTACATAAAATGTTTGATTGTCAACTGCATTAAAAAATTTTTCCCCTCCTTTCTCAATGGTTTACAGCAAATAGCAAAAACAGTTTTAGATCTTATTGTAGTTCTTCAACAGCAAATTTGACATTGCTCAATACAGTGGTACCTTGCAAGACGATTACTCTTCAAAACGACGAATCTGCTTGACGACAAGGTTTTGTGATTGCCATTTTGCTTTGCAAAACAGTGATTCCTATGGGGGAATTTCGCTGGATGATGATATGGCTCGTGCTTCGCGGACCGTTTTTTTTCGCAAGAAGACTATCTTTACAGCTGATTGACAGCTTCGCAAAATGGCTTCCCTAGGGGGGATCTTCGCTGGACAGGTGTTTTTGGGCCCGTTTTTTGCAAGACAGCGATTTAAAAACACTGATTGGCGCTTTGCAAAGTGGCTTCCCTATGGGCGATCTTCGCTGGACAACGACGATTTTTCCCCATTGGAACGCATTAAACAGGTTTCAATGCATTCCAATGGGGAAACGCTTTTCGCTAGACGATTTCACTAAACAGCGATTTTCAAGGAACAAATTATCGCTGTCATGCGGGGCACCACTGTATATATATTTTTATTAAATTTCTATCTCACGCATCTAGTGGCAAGCCACCACACTAGGCATCTTACAGCAAAAATACATACAATTAAGAACAATAAATGTAAATAACAAATAACAGAAAAGGAATAACCACACCCCTATAACCAACCTTCATCTAAGAAAACACAACCAATTCCCAGAATGGGTGTGTTGAATGTTCAGGTGAAACTTGTAAAAAAACCAGTTTGATTTAGCTCTGCCCTTTGTCCTATTATGTACTTCTTTGGTTTCTGACAAATAGAATTTTATTTATGCTATTGAATTCATTTGTGTTACTAACAGAGCATGGCAATGCATGTCTCCTGAGATTCAAGTTCTAATGGTTCAGTGGTTTCAGTGGAACTTACTTTCAGAAAAGTCTGTATAAAATGGTACTGTAGCTGATATATTCCAACTCTGTTTTTCTGAGAGATGAGATTTGCGACATTGGTAACTATTAACAATAAGGTTTAGAAGAAACTCTGAGAGGAATACTTGGGATTTGTTACTTTTACAGATCCATTGTGTACAGAGGTGTTTCAGATACTATTGCTGTCTACAACTATACGTTGTAGAGCTTCCACTATATGTTATTGCCTAACATTTTGATGTCTCCATATTTTACTTAACTGATCATATATTTCTCATAGTGATGGCAGTTCCACTCGCAAATGCTTGTTGTTGTTTAGTTGTTATGTTGTGCTCAACTCTTTGTGGTCCCATGGACCAGAGCATGCCAGGCCCACCTGTCTTCCATTGCCTCCTGGAGTTTGGTCAAATTCATGTTGGGAGCTTCAATGACACTGTCCAACCATCTCATCCTCTGTCTTCCCCTTCTCCTCTTGCCTTCACACTTTCCTAACATCAGGGTGTTTTCCAGGGAGTCTTCTCTTCTCATGAGATGGCCAAAGTATTGGAGCCTCAGCTTCAGGATCTGTCCTTCCAGTGAGCACTCAGGGTTGATTTCCTTCAAAATGGATAGGTTTGTTCTTGCAGTCCAGGGGACTCTCAGGAGTCTCCTCAAACACCACAATTGAAAAGCATCAGTTCTTCAGTGTTCAGCCTTCTTTATGGTCCAGGTCTCACTTCCATACATTGCTACTGGAAAAACTATAGCTTTGACTATGCGGACCTTTGTCAGCAAGGTGATGTCTCTGCTTTTTAAGATGCTGTCTAGGTTTGTCATCGCTTCCCAAATACTACATGATTATAATTTATATAGGCATGTAGCATGAACAGTGTTTTTAGTTTTTAATGTTTATATCCTAAATTTGTGCCCTAGCTGAGCATTTTAGATTACTTATTCTCTTAGTATCATAACAGTGCTTTGTAATTTTTCAGAATATGTTTGTTGTGGTTTTGGGACAGAACTTGAAAAACAAACAACAATCAGATCAAATAATGTGTAAAGTAATATAGGAGTATATTAATGAACAATTTGAATCCCCACTTGGCTGTAGAAACTCATTTAGTATAGTAAATTTAGAATAGTAAATATCTCCCCCTGAAAGCCTTACTAGGATCATTGTAAATTAGTTCCAAGTTGATGGCACATCAGAAACACAAATTAGATTCAAATGTTGTAAGCCATATGTTTTTAAGCTGTGGTCTGTGAACCCCTGGGAGACTGTGATTGGGTTCTTGTTCTAAATCTAGCAGTTCCTCCTCTTTGACGCCATTAACCACAGGAAGCATGACATTATTAACAGAACCTTTAGTATCATTAGGAGGGGATGGGTGTACAGTAACTTCTGTGGGTCCAATAAAACTGTTTAACATGGGTGAACCAGTCCATAACGTAGAGTTCCATCTGGTTTGTTCTCTCTCTTAATGTGACAACATTCCGAATCACTCCCAATCATTCAGCTTCCTCAACAGAGTGCTCTTTGCCATGCATATGATCCCACAGCATGGGTGGAGCCCCCACTCTCCTTCTCGGGGTATCTCTCTAGGAGGGATAGGCTTTGGCCACACCACATTCCTCCAGGGTCCCTTCCCCCTCAGATAAACATAGACCGTCCATTCTAGAGAGTTCAGCTCCCCTAACTGTATCTCAACACCTGTGGCTCCACGTCCATGTGTGGATCTGCCCCCTCTATCACTGTCTTTTCC